GTGTAAGGAACAAGAATATCACAAATTTGCTATCTTGTGATCAATCTAAATTCTAAAACTACTTCAAAAAGGCCTTATTGCGGTATCTTTTCAATAATAACAATTTTTTTAATAATATAGAATTAACTAATAATAAAAAATTGGGGCCTTCAAATAAGGGGCGCCTAAAGCAATTGCTTTAGCTGCCTCCCCCTTGGGCTGGCACTGATATTGTATTACTAAAAGTGACGAAGTAATAAGTAATCCTCAATCTTTAACTAGAGGTTTCAAGTTCGAACCCAGAAAATGAAGTCACATTTAGTAGGAACGCTTTATCTCAAAAGTGAAACCTTTTGGCATGAATCCAGATTAATCTGGCCTCAAATCAGGCTACTGGACGGGAAACAAAAAAATGTGAAATCTGTACACAAATAGCAAATTAGGGTACCAGACGAGAAAAAAAAGTGGGATCTTTACACAAATAGCCAGACAAGTTTATTGTTTACTTTTCCTAATCGGTATACATAGATTATGCACTTATTACACGCAATTATACATATATTATTCATCCACCAACTATTTAGTTCAAGCGATTGGCTGAGCAACTATTTAGGTTAATTCTTCCAAAATTTTGGAATGTTGTGGTGCATCTTGGACCATTCGATATACAATGACAAAGACTGACAAAAAGAGGTAGTTAGATAAGTACCTAACTCCATCTATAACTACACATTTTCTCAATCCCAACCCACTCCCAACTTTCCAAAATCCCCCCAATTCACTTGCTTATGCCTAGTGTAACTCTTTAAAGAACAAGAATATCACAAATTTGCTATCTTGGGATCAATCTAAATTCTAAAACTACTTCAAAAAGGCCTTATTGAGGTATCTTTTTAATAATATAAAATTAACTAATAATAAAAAATTGGGGCCTTCAATTAGGGGGGCCTAAAGCAATTGCTTTAGCTGCCTCCCCCTTGGGCTGGCATTGATATTGTATCACAAAAAGTGATGCAGTAATAAATAATCCTCAATCTTTAACTAGAGGTTTCAAGTTCGAACCCAGAAAATGAAGTCATATTTAGTAGGAGCGCTTTATCTCAAAAGTGAAACTTTTTGGCATGAATCCAAATTAATCCAGCCTCAAATCAGGGTACTGGACGGGAAACAAAAAGATGTGAAATCTTTACACAAATAGCAAATTAGGGTACAAGACGAGAAAATAAATTTGGGAGCTTTATGTAACGACCCGGCTGGTCGTTTTCAGAGTAATAGCCTCGATCCCCTATTTACTGCTTCCCCCGTATCTTTTTCTGCTTATGTGACTTACCGGGAGGTTTGTTTTTGGTTTCAGAGTATTTTGAGACACTTAGTCCCTAAACGGAAGCTTAAGCCCTAGGATTTTGACCGTAGTCGGAACTGTGTGAAGACGACTCCGGAATGGAGTTCCTTCGATTTTCGTTGGGTGATTTTGGACTTAGGAGCATGTCCGGATTGTGTTTTGGAGGTCTGTACCCAATTTAGGCTTGAAATGGCGAAAGTCAAATTTTTGGAGATTTTGACCGGTAGTGGACTTTTTGATATCGGGGTCGGATTGGATTTCCGAAAGTTGAAGTAGGTTCGTGGTATCATTTACGATTTGTGTGCAAAATTTGAGGTCAACCGGACGTGGTTTTATAGGTTTCAGCATCGGTTGAAGAAATTTGAAGTTTCAAGTTCATTAAGTTGGAATGGAGTGTGATTCTTATTTTTGTTGTTGTTTGACGTGTTATGAGGGCTCGACTAAGTTCGTATGGTGTTTTAGGACTTGTTTGTATGTTTGGTTGAGGTGCCGGGGGCCTCTGGTGTGTTTCAGATGCTTGACGGATTGAGATTTGGACTTATGCAATTGCTAAAGTTTTCTGGTTCTGGTGTTTCCGCACCTGCGGTGGGGAGACCGCACGTACGGGATCGCACGTGCGGAGAGGCAAGCGCAGAAGCTGAAAAGGGAGGAGTTTCCAGGGGTCGCAGGTGCGAGGGAAATGCCGTATCTGTGATGCCCGCAGATGCCCTTAAGGACTCGCAGGAGCGGTGGAGAACCGCAGAAGTGAACCAATGTCCGCAGGCGCGCACTCGCAGGTGCGGCCCATTTAATCGCAGAAGCGGACCCAGCCTTTTAAGTCATTTCCGCACCTGCGATGGAGTTTCCGCAGGTGCCGCATCGCAGATGCGATTTTAGGCCCGCATATGCGAAATCGCTGGGCAGAAAAAGAGGATTTCGAGGGTTTTATCCTATTTTGAATTTTGGGACTATGGGAGCTCGGATTTGGGTGATATTTTGAGAGATTTTCAGAGGAAGCTTTTGGGTAATGATTCCTAACTCCCTTATGGTTATATTTCACTAATCTATAGTTGATTTCTTCATTAATTAAGGAATTTGGGTGAGAAATTTGGGGAAAAAGGTTGGAAGTTCTTCAACTAAGTTTTTGAGATTTGATTGGGACTTTGATATCGGATTTGGAAAATTTTGGTGCGAGTGAACTCGTGAGTGAATGGGTGTTCATATTTTGTGACTTTTACCCGATTCCGAGACGTGGGCCGGGGAGACTTTTAGGGCGATTTTCGAATTTCTTTTTAAAGTCTTGATTTCATAATTAGATTCGTCTATTATAGTTGTATTTATGAAATATAATTGCTTTTGGCTAGATTTAGGTCATTTGGAGTCGGATATTCGTGGAAAAGGCATTGTTACAGACTGATTGAGCTTGGTTCGAGGTAAGTGGTTTGCCTAACCTTGTGTGGGGGAAACTCCCCTTAGAATTTGGTACTGTTGTGATACGTGAGCGCCGTGTATGTGAAGTGACGAGTGCGTACACGGGCTATTTGTTTTAAAACTCTATTTTTCACTGCGTAATAATTTGTTTCACTTTAATTGAGTTATACTAGCATGTGTAATTATCCTGTTTAGCCTAGAATAACATGTCTACGTGTCTTAAATGCTTATCTGAACTCTGTGCAACATGCTTAGTGGAATTCCTGCTTCTTCCTTGACTTGTACTTAGTCTATACTGTAGGATTTCGTGTTGTAGCTGTTATTTCCACTGTTGAGCTGTGTATTTAATTTGGGACTATGGAATGGTATTCTGGGAGATCCCCCTGCATATTTACTTTGGGACTACGGGACGGTATCCTGGGAGATCCCCCTGCATATTTACTTTAGGACCACGGGACAGTATCCCGGGAGATCCCCCTGCATATTTACTTTGGGACTACGGAACGGTATTCCGGGAGATCCCCCTGCACATTAATATTTGGGACTACGAGACGGTATCTCGGGAGATCCCCTGTTGATATTTCTGTGTATTGTACTGTTATCTTTCTGTGATTTCCTTCTGGTTAAAAATTTCAAACTTTTATTTCTACTGCGATATTTTTGTTCCGTCTTATATATATATATATATATATATATATATATATATATAAAAGAGTAGAAGGCCCTGACCTGACCTCATCACTACTCGACCAAGGTTAGGCTTCACTTACTGGGTACCGTTGTGGTGTACTCATGCTACTTTTCTGTACATGTTTTCGTGTGCAGATCCAGGTACCTCCTACCAGCCTCGCTTTTAGTTGTATAATTGCTGTTGTTCCGGAGACTTCAAGGTACATCTGCCCGCATCCGCAGATCTCAGAATCCCCTTCTATCCCTTCTTATGTTGTTCCTCTTTTACTTCTTCAAGTACTGATGTATAGAACAGTTAGACAAACATCTTAGAAGCTTGTGACTTACGGTGTTCCGTGTCTTGGGAGATTTTGTGCATATTCGAGAGTGGTTATTGTATATGCCGAGCGACACTTATATCAGTTGTTAAATTATCTGGTGTAGTTAGTTGTTAAACTTCATGTTTTCTTTTCATTATTCCTCAATGTTAGGCTTACCTAGTCGTAGAGACTAGGTGCCGTCACGACATCTCACGGAGGGAGGATTTGGGTCGTGACACTTTACACAAATAGCCGGACAAATTTATTGTTTACTTTTCCTAATCAGTATCACAGATTATGCACTTATTATACGCAATTATACATATATTATTCATCCACCAACTATTTAGTTCAAGCGATTGGCTGAGCAACTATTTAGGTTAATTCTTCCAAAAATTTAGAATATTGTGGTACATCTTAGACCGTTCAATATACAATAACTAAGACAGACAAAAAGAGGTAGTTAGGTAAGTACCTAACTCCAGCTATAACTACACATTTTCTCAATCCCAACCCACTCCCAACTTTTCAAAATTCCCCCAATTCACTTGTTTATGCCTAGTGTAGCTGTGTAAGGAACAAGAATATCACAAATTTGCTATCTTGGGATCAATCTAAATTTTAAAACTACTTCAAAAAGGCCTTATTGAGGTATCTTTTTAATAATAATAATTTTTTTATTGATATAAAATTAACTAATAATGAAAAATTGGGGCCTTCAATTAGGGGAACCTAAAGCAATTGCTTTAGCTGCCTCCCCCTTGGGTTGGCATTGATATTGTATCACAAAAAGTGATGAAGTAATAAGTACACCTCAATCTTTAACTAGAGGTTTCAAGTTCAAACCCATAAAATGAAGTCACATTTAGTAGGAGCGCTTTATCTCAAAAGTGAAACTTTTTGGCATGAATCCACATTAATCCAGCCTCAAATCAGGGTACTGGACGGGGAACAAAAAATGTGAAATCTTTACACAGATAGCAAATTCGGGTACCACACGAGAAAAAAAATGTGGGATCTTTACACAAATAGCCGGATAAATTTATTGTTTATTTTTTCTAGTCTGTATATATAGACTATGCACTTATTATACACAATTATACATATATTATTCATCCGCCAACTATTTAGTTTAAGCAATTAGGTGAGCAACTATTTAGGTAAATTCTTTCAAAAATTTGGAATGTTGTGGTACATGTTGCACCATTCAATATACAATGAATACAAGAGACAAAAAGTGATAGTTTGGTAAGTACCTAACTCCAGCTATAACTACACATTTTCTCAATTCCAACCCACCCCAACTTTCCAAAATCCCCCAAGTTCACTTCCTTGTGCCTAATTTAGCTGTGCAAGGAACAACAATATCACAAATTTGCTATCTTGGGATTAATCTAAATTCTAAAACCACTACAAAAAGACCTTATTTGAGTACATTATCTGTAGTTGTAAAACATGGAGAAAAAAGCAGGAAAAGAAGAAGCAGAAGCAGTTGAGCTACTAGGAAAAACAGTGGAGAACAAGCAAATCATATTCAAAGGATACATAGAAGGAATACCAAAGGAAACTGACATGGAGTTGAGAATTGGAAAAAAGTTGAAGCTAGAGAAAGTCCCAAGAGGGTCAGGTGGTTTATTGGTCAAGAATTTGTATTTATCTTGTGACCCTTTTATGCGTGGACGAATGCGCAATTTCACTGGATCTTATATTCCTCCTTTCGTTCCTGGAGAGGTAATTAACTCACAATTTAACTTATATACATCGATAGCGACAGTGTAATTTAACTTGCTTTAGCAAGTCGCCCGCCTTATTTTCTATGTTGTTGATTCCACTTTCTATGTGCAGTTACTTGTAATTATCTTTTAGGTGACATGACGTTGACAAATTGCTAACTACTGTACTATATCTTATAACTTGCTTTACAACAACTGCTATGCGTCAAAAAAAGGTAGGCCGGTGCACTAAGCTCCCTCTGTGCGCGGGGTCCGGGGAAGGACCGGACCACAAGGGTCTATTGTATGTAGCATTACCCTAGCCTTACCTTAGCGGCTTTCTTGATTGCCTCTACGTCGGGCAAATTTGGTTAATATTTTTAATGTCCGTATCCGTGATAATCTCATTTCTTTCGATGGAGAGGGGGTCCACCTTCTTCTATTTTTACACCTAGGATTCGACTTGTATCATGGATACTAATAGGAATTCAACCATTATGGCAAGGAAAAGTTTGATTCAGAGGGAGAAGAAGAAGCAAAAGTTGGACATTTCTGTAAGAGGCTGTTTCTACGGCTCGAAACCGTGACTTTCTAGTCACGTGACAACAACTTTACCAGTCACCCCAAGGCTCCCCTTCAACAACTCAATCCCAAGTAAATTGATGTTTGCTATATGAATGAATACTCACAATCCATGTCGCTCCATTTAAGCCCGTTTTGGTCCATTATTATAAAAGATTAGTTTTTCTAGCACCGGAAGTTCTCTACATTTTGTAGTGGCATTGGAGGCATCTTGTTAATTGATTTAATTGGAATATTTTGGTTGTGTTTAATGTTACTTATTTTATAAGTTGTAGTGACCTCCCTTTTTTTTTGGCTGTAATTATTAAGATCCTTCTATCTCTTAACTTAACCAATCCTCAATGTCAAACTAGTTGAGGTCGGCTGCATGAATACATTATGTTTAGAGGAGTCATGTTAATTTAAGTATTTTTACGCAACCCTCCTTCTTTATCCGGATTTTGAGATTGGCTATGCTCGTTATCTAATATTTGGAATAACACCAATTTCTGCAAAAATTCTCCTGTCCTTAAATTGTGTTTATTATTGGTTCAATAGTGGTGCGGTTGGGCCTATTTGAGTCTTTATAGTCTCCATTGTCATCACAATTTCTTTGGTTCTGAAAAGGTGAAAAGGCTTTGTGTTTCCAGTGAAAGTAGATGCTTAGTGTACTCATGCTTAATTGCTCATACAATCTTTTCTAAGTTCAATTATGTTTATCTAACGGATAGATTTGATGGTGGCAAATTGAGTCTTTATTTTCTTGAACATTGCCGTAGCATCATAGTTCCTTTGTTTCAGGAAAAGAAAACTACGTATTATATTTATATGCTATCCGTGTCATAAGTTAAATACAATTGTCCAACAGATATATTTGATGGTGGCAAACTACAAATCGCAGAACAATAAAACTGCTCTTTTTGAAAACATCATATGCTGCCGGTGCATAAAAAGCAAATCTAATGAATTCCCTCTGGCTAATCCTTACATGCACCGAACATGAAGCAACAAAAAAACCAGTTGTAGCAGCTGGATTTATAGTTGAACTTTGATGTAGTACAAAGATCACAATGCTAGTATTTGACATTTAGGAGACATTTTTAACTATCTTGTCTTGGCCATAAATTTATTGCAATGAGGCTTAACTATAAACGTTTGGAAAGGTAATTGAAGGATTTGGTGTGTCCAAAGTTTTAGACTCAGATAATCCAGACTTCAAGCCAGGTGATATAATCTCAGGGTTCACTGGTTGGGAAGAGTACAGCTTAATTTACAAAACCGAGCAGCTGAGGAAAATTCAGGCTGATGATATACCTCTCTCATATCATGTCGGTCTTCTTGGTAGGTTAATCTTAACCTAAAGTCTCTTAACTTTTTATTAGCACCATAGCATCCATACTTTTAGTTTTTGTTTTTTCCTATTAGCCTTGTGCAAGCTTGTTTTCACCTCTTTAGCATCAGTTTTGTTTATCACCAAACTAGTATTTGTTGAGTTCAATCAGTGAACTTAACAAATTATAAATGATTTATATATTTCCTTATCGGAATTAATCGAATCTGAAGTATATGCAGTTTTTACTTTTCTGCAACAAAATTTCTTGATCTGCACTGGTCCATCACTGCAAAGTTACTTATCAAAAAATAAATAATTGAAAAGAAAAAAAACCGTCGTATAGTTACTTCCTCTTTTATGTGATTTTAAGACCTTGCATCTCTCAAGTTGAATGCTGGTTATGGAACTCTCTTTCCATTTTGTGTTTCATGATTGCTTTACTTCTTTAGCATTTAGAGGTCTTAGACATTGTCTTTTAAGTTATATTACTCTGAAACATTTTCTTCAATATGCTAGATCCCACCCCAAGTCCCTGAAATCAGGAGCGCAAAAGTGGCCCTTTTCCACTATGCTCTCTTGGTGATCGAATTATTCTGTCACCTTACCCTGCTATTTTAAGTTTGCTATTACTAAAAATCTTTAGCTAATTTTAAGCCGATCTACATTTGTTGTCCGTTATGGCAATTGTTAGACATGATTTTCCAGTTATTTTTCAATATCTGGTCGCTTCTTCAAGAGTCTGATGAATGTGGACTTTATCCAGGCATGCCGGGTTTTACAGCGTATGCTGGATTTTATGAGGTTTGCACACCTAAAAAAGGGGAATATGTTTTTGTATCTGCTGCATCAGGAGCAGTTGGCCAGCTTGTTGGCCAACTAGCTAAATTACATGGATGCTATGTTGTAGGAAGTGCCGGGTCAAAACAAAAGGCAAGTCTCTTGCCGCAGATTGTAAGGTCTCTTAACAATTGCATTGTTAGTTTCATGTTATTGACTGCAAATTCAACCTCATACTATTAGGTTGACATATTAAAAGATAAGCTTGGATTCGATGGAGCATTCAACTACAAGGAAGAAGCAGACCTTGATAAAGCTCTTAAAAGGTGAGGAAAATGTCTAAACAAACTTTAAATGTCGGAAAGTGGAATAACTTAGAGCCAGAGGCGGATAAAGGGCTGATTTTGTGAGCTCAAATGGATTATCATTTTCTTGTTGAACTATACAAATGCCCAAAAAAAGTATACACATATAATAAGATCACACTCATTCTGAACCCACTTAATCTAATCCTGGATTTGCCTCTGCTTAGAGCATTATAAAGATGAATAGAGTCCATTTTCATATTAACAATCAAATCTAACTCTTGTTTTAACTTTGCTTGATAGACACTTTCCCGAGGGCATCGACATTTACTTTGACAACATAGGTGGATCCATGCTAGATGCGGCATTGATCAACATGAGGATTAACGGCCGAATTGCCATCTGTGGGATGGTATCTCAGCAAAGTCTTTCTGATCCGCAAGGGATACACAACTTGATTCAACTCATCACGAAGCGTGTTAAGATGCAGGGCTTTCTCCAAAGTGATTATCTTCATTTGTTTCCGCGCTTTCTTGAAGATGTTACTAGTTTGTGCAAGCAGGGAAAGATTACATATTTAGAAGACATGAATGAAGGCCTTGAGAGTGGTCCATCTGCTTTTGTTGGGCTATTTTCTGGAAAGAACATAGGTAAACAGGTCATCCGCGTGGCGCACGATTGACCTTAATCAGACCCCTCATTTGTTCTAGAGAGATAAAGATATTACTGCTACCTCCGAGCTTGACAATCTTGTGTTCCATTCTTTATTTAACAACTAAATAAAGGAACCAGGTTGTTTAGATCTTTCTACTAGTCTTTTTTATCAGGCAAGTCTTTTGTTCATCTTTTTTTTTGTATGTTCTTCAGAAATATGTTAAGATTTAAGATTGCATTTATAAAAAGATACTATTATTTTTCTTGTATCATTGGCATATTTGATGATTACAATAACAACTTTTTTGGTATCGATGCATGAGAGTTCATGGCATAGTCCAAGGACGCTTGGAATTTTTATGCACATGAGCCACCTGGCAAGAATACGACTACCATTATCACGTTCTAACATATATCCAATAAAGTGGAAATCGCTGGTTAGGTTGGTCTGACCAAGAAATGCATGGAATTTTGGCACTTGCTTGCGACGAGAAGATGTGTAGCACCCTTGTCCTGCGCGATTTGATCTTTCTGCCATGTTAGTTGGCAATCAATGATATAGCCTTGAGCAAGTATTAAAGGAGAACAAGGAAAAAAGCAAGTGGTATACTATATATATTTAATTGGAAATCGTGTAACAAAATTATTTTTCTTATATTTTAAAACAAAAAAGTGATTCAACTATTGAAAATGGTGAACAAAAGTATACTCTTAGTTGGAAAATATAATTTTGGTAACAATTTAATGACATGGCACATGACCCGTCTTACATGAAAAAAAAAAAAAAAAAGATCGCTTCGTACTCTTGACAATTCATGTTTCTGAGAAATTGGTCATACATTAATCATTTTTTTTTTTTTTGGTAAATAGTGACTTTCTATTCATTCAAAAAAAAAAAAAAAAAACAGCTTTACAAATCAGGTAGATGCTGACCATCTATGTCTCTATCTTCTAATTACACTAAGTCTGATGCTTTAATGACATCTCTACTGTGTTGCTATTTACATCATCTTAAAGCTTTATCTAGCCTAGGAAAGAAACAAAAAGAGGCATTTTGCATATTTCAAAACCTATGAGCCTAATGGAAAATAGTCTAATTCTTGCAGTGCTCCTTGCCAGCTCTTGATTGTCCTCCCTCTAGTATGTATGTGCATTACAATCTCTCTGCAGATACTGTTCTCTTTGAGTACTCCCCCTTAAAATCTAATCACATTCCTTTCCCTTCAGATTGTGTATACCAGCATACCAAATACACATGTAACAATTGCCCAGTGACCAGATTTCTTTTTTGCAGCCCTATTGATCCATTGAACCTCCTCCTGACAAGCCTGAATAGGTCTAGAATGGCCTAGCCATTTGAGCAGCCTGGTCCATATTTCTCTTACTATTGGACAGTCAAAAAATAGGTGATCAAATAGTTCATCAGATTGCTTACAGAAAACACAATTCTGAGACACTTGAACTCCAAATTTGATGAGTCTATCCACTGTTGCTAATCTTCTCTGTAGTGCCAGCCATAGTATGAATTTATACCTAGGATGTAGATGAGGTTGCATAGTGATACTCTTCCAAGGTACCTTTTGTAGTTAAGGAAATTGCATATGGTATAACTTGCTTATGCTGAACTTCCCTCCCTTTTGTATTTGAACAAGTCTGTTAATCAGATCCCCCTGAATTCCTTGTAATTCAAGAACAAGGTTTCTTGTCTCCATTATCTTTCTGACCACCCAAGCAGCATTCTTGGGTATTGGACTGCTCTCCACTGTCCTGTTCCTTATATAGGTGTGAACCCATCGGATCCATAAACTATCCTTCTTCATTGTAATTCCCCACAGATATTTTGCAATTACTGCTTTGTTCCAGTAGTACATGTTAATTACATTTAGTCCATCTGCAGCTTGTGGCCAGCATACTCTGTCCCAAGCAACTAGTGCTTTCTTGGTGATAGTTGTTGTACCAGACCATAAGAATGATCTATATATGGCTTCAATCATCTTCTTACGCAGCAGAAAGATTTGACCCCAGTATGATTGTACCCCAAACAAGACTGATTTAATTAATTGGAGCCTACCAGCATATGAAAGTAATTTTGCTGTCCAACAGTTGATCTTCTGTATAATCTTCTCTACTAATGGCCAACATTGGATAATAGACAGCTTCTTGGATGCTAATGGTACACGTAGGTACCTAAATGGCATAGTACCTTCAGTGTACCCCAATTCTTGCATAATGTCTTTTTTTGTGCTGTCTGAAATACCTGCTACGTATATGGAGCTTTTTTCTGCATTTGCCTGGAGGCCAGATGAGCTTGAGAACTTCAGAAATGTCTGCTGCAGTAATCTGATAGATGTAATGTCAGCTTTACAGCACATCAGTAGGTCATCAGCAAAACAAATGTGCATTGCTCTCAATTTCTTACATCTGGGATGGAATTTGAAGTTCCTATTCTTTGCCAGCTGTGCAAGTTCTCTCTGCAGATACTCCATGGCTATGACAAACAAGTACGGGGACATAGGGTCACCTTGTCGAATGCCTCTTCTTCCTTGAAATGGTTTTGTCAGTCCTCCATTCATGTTGAGGGAGTAGGTCACTGTGGTGATGCATTCCATTATCCAACTGACAAATTTATAAGGAAAACCAAGCTCTAGTAGCATTTTTTCAAGGAAGCTCCAATCTAAGGTATCATATGCTTTCCTGAGGTCAACTTTTAAAACACACCTTGGGGAGATCCCTTTCCTGTTATATCCTTTGAAAAGCTCATGAATAAATAAAATGTTGTCTGCAATGCTTCTTCCTTCAATGAGGTCTCCTATTACACTTTTTATTCTGTTGGTGAGTACTTTGGTTATTTAATCATGTTTCTTACTTGTTTCCTTGTACTGTTGTTTTTTCTCTTCATTTTTTGTTGGTATTTATTGGTAGAGATAAGCAAAACGGATGTAGCAATTGATAATGCAGTAATGGAGACTACAATGATTTGAAGATAGTAATCTATCTATATCTATCTATCTATCTATATTATTATAAAAGCACGTATGTTTCGTGCTAAATATTGAGTGACTAAAATATTCCTAAAATATTAATCGACTTTTATACCCTTAACTATTTATATTAGTTTTGACAATGGAAGGACACAACTGGAAATAGACACGTTAGGATGGAGAGGTGTAGCAGAATATGGACTCAATAGTGGAAGAAGTAGAATTATGAATGAATAAGAAAAAGTAAATCCTAAAACTAAATATTCTAAACTTTCCTCTAGCTTCCCTAAAATATTAATCGACTTTTATACCCTTAACTATTTATATTAGTTTTGACAATGGAAGGACACAACTGGAAATAGACACGTTAGGATGGAGAGGTGTAGCAGAATATGGACTTAATAGTGGAAGAAGTAGAATTATGAATGAATAAGAAAAAGTAAATCCTAAAACTAAATATTCTAAACTTTCCTCTAGCTAAATGTGGAACGACTACGTTAGAATTGAAGGAATTTGGTTCAATTGTATATAGCCAAATATTTTCAAAGTATTTAAATTAAAATAATAATTAGTTTATAAAATTGAAGAAAACTTTTTAGTTTTCGTTTGAATTCCAACATGTGAAAAACAAAGGTTCGACTAATTTTATTTTCTTAAAAAATTTTGAGTTTGTTATCCGAAACTAACAACACATTATTATTCAAAAGAATTTCTGTACATTTTATACTGTATTATATTACAAATCCAATGTACTTAAACGGTATTGTCTTTGATTTTATAGTTTTAGAAATCTGATTTTGACCCTCTTTTCCATGTTCCGGACATTAACTATTTTCTTTTTTATTAATAAGATAACAATATTAATAATTATAAGCTAACATAACTGTAGATCAAAGGAACGACTATAGGATCATATTACAATGCACGATCAAGACTAAATCACATTGGACCCAAAGAATTGAAATTTATTGGGATTAGGCTTTAATTATTTTTCAAATAAATTATTTCACATTGAATAAAATCGTAATACATTAAGACTGTCTAATATTTAATATTTTGAAGTAAACTAGCTAAACATTAAATTCTTTAAACTGAAGCTCTACTTCATATTAATTTACTAACGATGGTACTTAATTAGATACATTAATTAGTTCATTATATTACTCTAACACATAATACTATTAGAATATATATGCGATTGAAATTTTAATATCTATTATACAAAACGTGATACTTGACTTAAGATATTCGTGCAACGCACGAGCGTAGAGACTAGTACTATATCAAAAGCACGAAAGCCCGTAGTGAAATATTGTTCGTCTTTTTTACCCTTTAAAAATATATTTTACATTGGATAAAATTGTAAAATAAAAAAACTTACCCAATATTTAGGAGTTTGAAATCAAATAAGTTGTTTTCCAATATAATTTTCTGTTGGAGATATTTTCCTAATAAAGACACAAAATATTAAGAAATAAAAAATATAAATAAAAAAAAAGTAGGAGGAAAGTTTCTTTTTCCAGCAAGAAACTTCACGATTTGTGTTATTTTTTTTGTTCTTTGCCCTTATATTTAATCATACGAGACCAATTTTATTTCTTTATTTTCCTTTCATATGAACAATTTGGTGTTGTTAAATTTAAATCAAAGTTTGGTTGTTAAACCTTTTTTTTCTACGCTTAAAATTAACTACGACATGCTACAAAGAATATCTACCATTAGGTTTTGAAATAATAATTATTATTGGAAAAAAATAGTACTGATTTATTTGCGAAATTTTTTAATTATCATTTGTTAAGAAGGAAATAGAACCTAGCAATATCATTTAAATTTGATGCATATTTCCCGTTAAATAGATGAAAAAGACTTTGTTTTTTTGGTAAAAATGAAACTAATAATATTATTAAGAAAATTGGTTACATAATTTACTAAAAATAAGAATTAGCTCGAAATTCATCTGGTAGTTAATAGGACCTTTGGATAATGCATAGATAATTCATTGCTAAATAGAATTAGGGATGAATTTTTATTTTGTAACTACATAAGTTGTTCATTGCTAATTCTTTTTCTTTTTGCAACTAACCTCTTTAGAACACATAGTATCTAAACGATCACGTTGATACAAATTAAAACAAAAGGAGGGGATACATAATAGAATTGAGCTTCCAATATTATCTTTGTTACATTGTTACGCTTAGCTACCCGATTCACTACTTTATTAACTAAATAGGATTTATATTTATCATTTTTAACATTCAAACATGTTGTTTAATACTATTTATGATTTT